CTCTCTCTCTCTCTCTCTCTCTCTCTCTCTCTCTCTCTCTCTCAACACACACACCACCACCACCACCAATTTATATCATCCCCTCAATAGTTAATCGAGCACTGTAAGGAAGCTGCTACTTTCCATGTGAAAGATGAGGGAACTCAGGCACAGAGGGGTCAAGTAACTTATTTACCCAAGACACCTGGCTAGGAGCAGTGGAGCTCAGATGTGGAGCCCATGCTCCAGAACCTTCAACTCAGCAGGAACCGGCGGCCAGCTGCCCTGGGGTCCCATCGACTCGGGCTCTGCCTCCAGTTCAGCAGCTAACTCGTGTGACTTCACTGAGTGCGCTCCTGCCATAAGCATCTGGTTTTCCTCTGTGAGCCTGTGATTCTTTTAGCTGTTTTTTGAGCTAGTAATTTGATTTTATGATCTTTCCAATGGCTAACAGATTTCTCCCCAGTAGCTCTGTGGGAGAAAGATCTGGGAATCTGCTCCCATAAAGATCACAAATCTAAACGAAAACCCACTGTTGTCAAATCAATTCCAACTCCTAGTGACCCTGTAGGACCGAGGAGACCTGCCCTATAAGGTTTCTATGGCTGTAAACCTTTATAGCATCAGATTGCCTCCTACTTCTTCTGAGGATCAGCTGGTGAGTTTGAACTTCTCATCTTTTGGTTTGCCCTTGAACTCTTAGACACTGAGCCATCAAGGCTCCTTCATGGAGTTAAGGGACCTCTAAGTCTTTAGAATGCTTAGTTGTCTCAGTTAACAACACTGGCTCAGAGATACCACTCTAAATAAGAACAACAGAACATTCAGATGCATGGCCATTGACTTGATTCTGACTCATAGTGATTCTTTATAGGATTTCCAAGAGTATAAACCTTTAGGAGTGCAGACAGCCCATTGTTTCTTCCTACGAGTGGTTGGTGAGTTTGTACCGCTCACGGTGTAGATCACAAACCAATGTCTAACCCAAAGTGTCATCAGGGTTGCTTGTCTACCCCTCTAGGTGATTCAAATCCCTGGTCCACGTTTTATTAGTCTGCTAGGCTAAGGACTCTGGAGGCTTCAGTCTCACACGTGCAAAGCGAGGATGCTATAAGTGGCGGTACATGCAAGTCCACTGGAGCCGCCACGGTTGTATGTATACCGACAACCTCCCAACCTATGGGCTCATCCCCCTGCACTGTACCGGACCACATTCTCTTATGACCTATCTGACATGCGACTCTTCCCTCTGCATCCTGGTGCTTTCCAATCACGAGAAGCCTCCCTGCTGGGGAGGGCTTTCGCAGACTCTCTGTCCCTCAGCGGTGCTCAGAATCAGCTTTGCTTTCTCCTGAGCTCTCCTGACAGTAGGTGGGGACTTGGGGGTGACTCCTGGTGAAGACGCCAGAGCTTCCAGTGTCCTTTCCCTGCCCGGGACTGGAGGGGAGGAGAGGAGATGTGTCCCGCATCACGGTTGTCCTTTCTCTGTCAATCCCGTATATCCTCCACTCTTAGCTCGTGGGAGCTTCCAGTGCCTGGTCATGACCAATTCCCTCGCTGGTGGAAATCCTTTTTCAGTCTCTCATCCTCACAGGATAGAAGTCCTCAAGTTCTTCCTGGGTGTTCCAGGCCCTTCAGTTATCTGGCCCTCAGTGTTCCATTCCTTCCTCTCCCCACGCTGACTTTGTATCTTGAACATGAGCATCTCAGACTTACCTGGCACAGTGATTCTCCACTGAGGATTTTGTCTAGAGGAGACATTTAGCAATGGCTGGAGTCTTTGCTAATTATCCCAACTGGGGCTGGGGTGAAGCTAGCATTTGGTGACTAGAGGCCAGCAATGCTGTTAAGCATCCTCCCATGCGTAAGACAGTCCCCACCAAAGAGAACGATCCCACCCCAAATGTCAACAGTATTGAGGTTTCAAGCCCCTTCCCTTGAGTGTCCCACATTCTCAGAGGGTTTTGTGCTTCTTTGTCCTTGCATTTTCATCTCCCCATGGCGCCCTTCTCCTTTATCACGCCGGGAGAATTATCCATCTGTCCGTCCATCCGTCCATCCATCCATCCATCCATCCATCCATCCATCCATCCATCCACTCATTCACTTATCCATCCATCTGTTCATCCATATATCTGTCATCCGGCCATCTGTCTGTCTTTAGATGCATGCATCCAGCCAGCCATCTGGCAAGTCAGAAAATTCCCAAGGGCACTACCGGTATGAGGCTGTGGGCATACAACTATGAAAAGACAGGTATGCCAACGGTCTTCACAGAGCTTCAAGCTATCATTACCCAAAAGAAGTGACTCATTGCACATTCTGAGAAAAGCTCTTCAGGACACAATAGAAGCTGTCATGAAGGAGGGAGGCCTCGTGGCACTGTGGGCTAGATGTGGGACTGCTAACTGCAACGGCAG